GTATGTAGTAGGTGACCTGTGGGAGCAAGTGATGAACTATTCCTGATCACCTGAGCTGGACGCACCAAGAATGTCCCTTGTGCATGTTATGTGGGCCCTCCTTTTGTAGTTAAGTCTTGATTGTTCTTAGCCAGTTTGTGTGTGGGATTGACTCTCGGGCTATCTGACTGTGAGGCTCAACCACTGGACACAGCATGCAAGCTTTTGTGCAGGTGCTGATCACCTGGCGTGGAATGTACCTCAGCAGGGTTTGGTTCTGCTGAGATCTCCCTATGGATATGCTGCTTGTGAAGCTTATTGGATCGTACTCTGTTGTCTGAATCTGGTCACTGGATGTATTGGTTCTGGGCCTCTTCAGAAGGACTCTGGTGCTGGCCAATGCCAGGTGTTGTCTATGACTGGCCCTGGGCAAACTGTTTGGAGCTATCAGTGATCCACAGATTGTGGCTCCCTCTTCTGGGCCTGGATGCATGTGGAAAGACCAAGCTGCCCACGAAGGTCTGCTTTGACTAGCACTGGGCCCAGGGACAGATCAGCAGAAATCTCAACACATCCAGACATCAGCCTCTGTTCTGCAGTCTGTCTGTTAGGCTCACTTAAAGATCCTCTAGTTGTACCTTTCACCAGGGTGTAGGCTCAGGGTGGGGTGAGAGGGATTCCAACGTGGGGCTATTTCTTTCTCTTGGGCTGATGTTCCATGGAGGGGAATATGCTGCCTGAGAAAGATGGCTCTTTCAGTACAGGGGAATGACTTAGCATAGGGATCCCAGCGGCGACCTCTCAGCTCTCTTGCCACCAACTCCAGACCTTCCTCATGCACCTCTAGTCCACTCTGCCCTCCCTCCGCCAGAGCCCAGGGTGAGTGGCTATGAATGAAAATTTTGTGTGTTGGCCCCCTAAGAGTTTGCCTGTGTTTCTAGCTGTCTCTCGCTGGTGGACAAAAACACCACTACTTTTCACAGGCAGATGTTTTGTGGGCTCCTTTCCTGGTTCTGGAGCTCTGGGCTGGGGAGACCCACTTGGGGTTTAGACCCCAAACTTCTCAGAGGGACCTTCTCCCAGCACAGGCAATATATCCCTCCAAAACTTCAGCCAGTGACTGTGAGTGTCCACCCAGCCCTCTTGTGCTTCCACACCTCCCACCTCTCAATGTGGCCTCTTCTGTAAATCCTTGATTTTAAGGTTTCTCTCCAGCTAGTCTTCAGTTGGCTATTCAGGATTATTTTTTCTATACTTTAGCTGTAATTCCAGTTTGGTCCTGGGAAGAGGTGAGTATAACTTTTACCTAATCTGCACCATGTTGGATCCTCCACATCTCTCTTGTTTGATTTATCAGCTTTAAATTATATCTTTTGGCTTCTGGCTCTAAAAGATGAAGAAATTAAGCATATTTTTTCTACCCCTCTCTTCTCCCAAGTTTTATTAATTGCCTCACTTGTATATCTCCTAAAGTTATCATATTTATATTTTGCTTTGTAATTATAAGCTTCAGAATTATTTTGGTCTTTGTCTGTGAATAAAGATTCAATGCTTCTGGATAATTCTTTCAATGAATCATTTTGCTTTTCCATTCATCTCTTCTTTTTGGTGAAAGTCATACTCTAGGAGTATATAGAGGAAACACTCATAAGAAAAATACACTGCAAATTATTTCTTTTCTCTTTTGAAATAGCTTATCTTTTAGACCAGTCATTTTCAAAAAGGCTGCGCTTTCAGGAATTAATTGTGAAGCTTTTTCAGGGTATAGCTATTAGTCTTCATTTCTTCTTTCAGACATTCTAGAATGTCCTTAAGGGCAGGAATAGAGGTAAGTGGGGGCAGAAAAGGCTGTGCAGTTTAGAAAAATCTAAAGATGATACTGTTTCAACCATCCTTTGATAATATAATACCATTCTGGTCAAAGGAACTATATTAGCATGATAATGGAAAACCAGTGTTCAATACTTCATTTTTCTCATCGTCCTATGCACTATGGTTTTTTTTCTAAATGTTAAAGTTATTTTCTTTGTCTTACTGCATAGAAAATCTGTGCATTTGTCACTTTCGTTACATTGAGAACAAACTACTCCTTCTTGATAAGGCTTTCTTCTTAGAGTTGCTCTACAAAAAAAGGAGAAAACATTTGGTTAGAAAATGTCTCACATTTTATATTATTTACATAATATAATTAACAATTTTTATTAGTTTAGAAAGGTGATTTAATTAAGAAAAAGGATTCAAGGAAGTACTCCAATTGGAAATGCAATCTTTCCTTTCTCTCCCCTCCACAAAAAAGTCTCTTTTGAAATGGATTCCGATATCCTTGAAAGAAAATATTGTAATTTAAAAATGAGTGAGTTGTAAAGCTTATTGTATCTTATTTGTAGCGAAGTTTTTCTTTAAAAAATGGATATTACAGAATGCTTTGTAATTAACTGCTTTCTTGTTGGCACACTTGTATAAGAAGTTGTATTAATTTTCTGAAGAGTTTGAAAAATCCTGAAATGTCTATTGTCTCAAAGACCTAGCTGCATGGATTACTTTGAAGTCTACATGAAAAATATATAAATATATAAACAAGTAAATAAATTTAAATGGAATTTTACCAAGTTGTTTTAACCCACTGTATAGACCAGGGTGGAGAACTGAGAAACTATTACATCAATTCCTCAAAGCTAAGTAAGAAAAAGGGTCCCCAAAGTAGATATGAATTGGGAAGCTTATATAAAAGATCTAGGATAGAAAAGATAGAGGAGATATGTAGGAAAATATATTTTTCAGTGAGGGGGGGGTCATTGATACTGATCATTAAATAGAATTGCTTATTTACTCAGTGTGTATTGGAAGCTGTAAAAACAAACATTAGGCATATATGTCCCTAGAAGTTTTTTTAGACTCATATCTGGCCATACCTTCAGTATACTGCCACTTATAGGACGTGGGTCCAAGTCCTAGATAAGGACATGCTGCCTGGCTGGCCTATTGGGTAACCTTACCTATGTCCAACCCAAAGTCCATTAGAAGACCATTATTTAAATTTTATAGTATAACTATATTGTTACAGAAGGAGAACACAATTCTGGTGCTGATGGAAACTTTCATTGCTTACACTAGGCCCATTTCTGCCACCACTTTATTCATGAAGGAGGTAATTCAGCTCCATGGTTTCATAATCTAACAATTATAATTTGTAAGCAGATTCTTCTCTTCAAAGTTCTCCATGTATAGACTCACATATCTGTACAATGTCTAGAACAATGGCAAGAGAAGATCAAACAGATGTTGATCTTTCCATTTCATAAAGCCAGAAGAGTTATACCACATACAATAACCACTTTCACTTTCACTCTTCCGTATATCATTAAGAAATATCACAAAGCTGGCTTCTAGTTTACTGGCACACCTGGGCATCTATAGGTTTCCCAAGAAGGTTTAAAGAATCTATCCCAGTAAGCTAGAGAAAAATACAATGCAATAAACAGCAAGGAAGATTATCTTTGAGAGATCCTATTTGGCTCTCCATCTGATACACCTAATGCAGTGGTCGGCAAACTGTGGCTCACGAACCACATGCGGCTCTTTGACCCCTTGAGTGTGGCTCTTCCACAAAATACCATGTGCGGGCACGCACATACAGTGCGATTGAAACTTCGTGGCCCATGTGCAGAAGTCTGTTTTCGTCCTGGGCGAGTCTATTTTGAAGAAGTACTGTTTATATTTGGCTCTGTTGAGTAATGAGTTTGCCTACCACTGACCTAATGTATTAACTGCCAAAACTCTATGACTACTTCCTAGACTTATTCAAGGTCAAAGAAAAGCACAAATCCTGTTGTTTTCTGCCTCAAATTATCCCTTTATGTGCAAAGCTATGTTACTTTGTATCACTTTCTGTAAAATTCAGGTGGTCATATCTCCACTTCCACTGCTTGGAACTAAACGACTAGGGGCCACAGTTAAACACTGACAAAGCTCCTTCGAGGGTGATATTATTTTGTTGTACCATCCTCTAATCATCCCCAAGATACTATCTTCTTTCTGATCATGCCTCCTTCCTCATTTTAGCACCTGATTCACAATCTCCCTTTCAATCAAAATTGTGCCATTGTCTTAGAATTTGGGACCTAGATGATTACAATATGCTTATGGATGATTTGCCCAATAACTTGGTCTCTCTGTTACTGTAATTGGCATTTTGTAGCCACACTCTGGATCTTGTTATCCCCTAAAACTGCTCCACCTCTGAACTCACAAAATCACAAATTACACTCGCTGACTGCAATCTCCTATCCTTCCAAAGTGCTCACTTATTTACTTGTCCATTCATTTCACTGGCACTGCAAGTCTATTTTTTCCCTAGCCACCCTGTTGTCTCTTCTCTATTTAGCTTAGCTCTCTGCATATTCTCATATTTGCATGTTCAGCTAAAAACCTGAAACTCTCTTGCACTATTTTCCTTTATAGACACCTGATTAAACCCAAGTCTTGAAAAGAAAAAAAAATGAAGGTATCTTACTGTGTGAATGTTCCATATCTGCTTCAGGGCAACTGGGTGCTGCTGGAGCAAAATCATTAAATGAGGTAAGGAATCTTTCTATGGTTCCCTACTCAGATTCCTCTCTCAGTTTCCACAATAACTATTTCAAACCTTCCCAATCTTCTTCTTCTTTTTATTTTTTATTATTGTTTAAAGTATTACAAATAGTAGTACATATGTCTCCTTTTTTCTCCCATTGACCTTCCCCTGTCCTTCCCTACCACGCCCCCCTCACCTGCCCCGGCACATGCCCTCACCCCACCCCCCAGTATCTTGCGTCCATTAGTTATGCTTATATGCATGCATACACGTCCTTCGGTTGATCTCTTACTTCCCCCTCCCCCCAACTCTCCCCAGCCTTCCCGCTGTAATTTGACAGTCTGTTCGATGCTTCTCTGCCTCTGTATTTATCTTTTTGTTCATCAGGTTATAATGTTCTTTATTATCCATAAATGAGTGAGATCATATAGTATTTTTCTTTCACTGATTGGCTTATTTCACTTAGCACAATGCTCTCCTGCTTCATCCATGCTGCTGCAAATGGTAAGAATTCCATCTTTTTTTATAGCAGTGTAGTATTCCATTGTGTAGATGTACCATGGTTTTCTAATCCACTCATCTGCTGATGGGCATTTAGGCTGTTTCCAAATCTTAGCTATTGTAAATTGTGCTGCTATGAACATAGGGGTGCATATATCCTTTCTGATTGGTACTTCTGGTTTCTTGGGATATATTCCTAGACATGGGATCACTGGGGTCAAATAGGAGTTTAATTTTTAGTTTTTTGAGGAAACTCCATATCGTTCTCCACAGTGGCTACACCAGTCTGCATTCCCACCAGCAGTGAAGGAGGCTTCCTTTTTCTCCGCATCCTCGCCAGCACTTGTCATTTGAACTTTTTGATGACAGCCATTCTGCCAGCTGTGAAGTGGTACCTCATTGTTGTTTTGATTTGTATTTCTTGGATAATTAGTGACTTTCAGCATGTTTTCATATGACTCAGCCTTCCTTCTGTCTTCTTTCAAAAAGTGTCTGTTTAGGTCCTTTGCCCTTTTTATGATTGGATTGTTTATCTTCCTTTTGTTAAGTTGTATGAGTGCTTTGTAAATGTTTGACATTAAACCATTATTGGAGATACATTGGCAGATATGTTCTCCCATGCAGTAGGCTTTCTTGTTGTTTTATTGATGGTTTCTTTTGCTGTGCAGGAGCTTTTTATTTTGATGTAGTCCCATTTGTTTGTTTTCTCCTTAGTCTCTCTTACCCTAGGATCTGTGTCTGTAAAGATATTGCTACGACATATGTCTGCAATGTTGCTGCCTATGGAGTCTTGTAGGATTTTTATGGTCTCCTGTCTTACATTCAAGTCCTTTAGCCATTTTGAGTTTGTTTTTGTGTATGGTGTAAGTTGGTGATTTAGTTTCATTTTTTTGGCATGTTTCTGACCAAATTTCCCAGCACCATTAAAAAGACTGTTTTGACTCCATTGTATGCTCTTGCCTCCTTTGTCAAATATTAATTGCGTATAATGGCTTGGGTCAATTTCTGGGTCCTCTGTTCTGTTCCATTGGTCTATATGTCTGTTCTTGTGCCAGTACCAGGCAGTTTTGAGAACTGTGGCTTTTTCTGTGATTTCATTATTGGTGTATAAAAAGGCCATAGATTTCTGGGTGTTAATTTTGTATCCTGCCAAATTCATTTATTAGGTCTAGTAGTTTTTTGATTCAGTCTTTGGGGTTTTCTATGTATAGTATCATGTCATCTGCAAATAAGGATAGTTTTACATCTTTTTTTCCAATTTGAATGCTTTTTATTTCTTCTCTTTTTTTATTAATCGTTATTGTTCAGATTATTACAGTAGTTCCTCTTTTTTCCCCCCCCATAGCTCCCCTCCATCCGGATCCCACCCCATCCTCTGCCCTTACTGCCCCCACTGTCCTCATCCATAGGTGTATGATATTTGTCCAGTCTCTTCCCACACCCCCACCCCATTTCCTCCCGAGAATTGTCAGTCCACTCCCTTTCTATGCCACTGATTCTATTATATTCACCACTTTACCCTGTTCATCAGATTTTTTCTTCACTTGATTTTTAGATTCACTTGTTGATAGGTGTG